AAAAACAATTGTTAGAGATAAGAGTTCATTTTAAGCCAAGCATTTATTTTTTCTTCTTCTTCTTTAATGGGGGGCGCTGGTCTTCAGATTCACTTTCACTAGTAGTGTCGTTATCAGATGACTCGCATTTGAGTTTTTTCATTTTTCTCTTTCTTGACTTCTTTCTGGATTTTGAAGAACGACCTTCATTTTCATCATCGCTAATGTCGCTTTCGCTTTCAACAACATCTTGCTTACGCTTGTCTTTTTTTTTGAATTGTTGTATCCGTTGCCCATTGAAAGAAACCACAATCAATGTCAGGGTATTGAACAGGGCAGGCCCAARAGACTTTACCATTGTTGGCTTGTGAATGGCACACCAAGAGTTTGGCATACACATTATGCTCGCACTTGGGAAACTTTTTTATGCGATATCCATGAGAAGAACCAAGTTGTTGAGCATCATGGAAGCAAAGATTCATGTTACATCCCAACTTCATAGTTTGTAAGGCTTCATGTCTTTCACGCTTCGTTTTGAATTGTTTTAGTGTTTCTTGTATCTGAGGATAATTGAGAACGACTCCACACTTTACCATTTTACCGCCATTCTTGGTGGAATAGGATCTGGCAGGTTTTTTTACAAAAACAGTGGATAGAAGTTTCGATTGAAGTCATGATTTAGTCTTGTACTAGTTACTAGGTCCAACTCGATGCAGCAACTGATCGGAAATCAGGGTAACGATTTGAAATAAAAGGTGGAATAAGATGAGGTAATGATCATATTATCCAATAGGCTCAAGTTGAGTCATGGTGCATGTGATGATCTAAGTTCCATTTTTGTTTTCATTTGCTTTTAGTTACAAAAAGTGGTCCCAGTGACATGTTACGACTATTTTCTTGGTATAAAATCGAAATAAAAACGTTCTAGAATGAGTGATGCACTAAATCATCAATCCTATCCAGGGTCTTTTTAAGTTCCATTGTTTTAAAGTAGTTCCAAATTTCTGGTTCTAAATCTCTTCGAAGGTACTGCCGTTCCACGAAACAGTGATCACAATGAGTTGATGGGAAATGCGGTGAAAACGGATTCCTTAAACGTGTTTGTTTTGATCCGAGCTATCGCCTCGGTACAATTTTGACACTGTAGAAAATATTCTTTTGTTAACGCGTGGCTTTCTGAGTTTGGACAATTCTTTTGCATTTTCCCCTTTGCGTTGTGTTTTCTATGACTTGAATCTTTGTTCGCGCTTAATCACAGTGGAGTCTATGAGCCAAGTTGAGACTAAACTAAAACCTTTTTGCCGTGATACACGTTTTTTAGTTCAAAAAAAGAAAAAGAAAAAAATAATTGTATAAAAATAGAAACACGGTAATGATTAATTAAAGTTGGAGCATTATCTTTTTTACCCCCATCAACACCCTCTTCACCATTTTCTCCCTTTTCATTGATCATATTAAATAGAGTAAATACGTTACCCAGAACGTCTTGAAAAGCATCATCTTTCATAAATTAATCTAATATGTTTTTTTTTTATTTTCATCCTTCTTATTTATAGGATTCAGGCGTCCATCAGTACACCGTATCTCCACTTTCGATGGTGCTTGCTGCCGCTCCATTGTCAGAATCAGAATCGTCATGATCTTCGTCGTCGTGACGATACCTCCTCCATGACCGTTTACATCCGTCGTAGCGCTGACATTTCAAGCATTC